CCACCCAGGCGCCCCAAAAGCTGTCTCTTTTAATTGGAAATATCACCTTTATCAAATAATTTCTTTTTTTTCTTTTGAAGTTTATTTATTTATTTGAGAGAGAAAGAGGGCATACCAGTGGGGGAGGGCCAGAGAGAGGGAGAGGGAGAACCCCAAGCAGGCCCTGCACTCTCAGCACGGAGCCCGACATGAGGCTTGAACTCACGAACCTTGAGATCATGACATGAGCTGAAATCAAGAGTTCGATGCTTAACTGACTGAGACACCCAGGCGCCCCTATGAAATAATTTCTAACAAAAATTGAGTGCTTATATAGATAACTTCTATAGGACTTTCACTTGTGCTAATTAATTTAATCTCATTTTAATCCTCACAGTAATGCTGAGGGTGGGTTCAGGTGTATAATCATTTTATAGATGAAAAACTTGTGACACAGAGAGGTTAAGTTAATAACCAACAATCACACAGCTTATAAGTGGCAGAGCTCCTAAATTCAGAGTCTGTCTTCAAAGCATGTTAAGGATGAAGCTTCTCATATATATTTTCTATGTCAAATTTGATCTACTTCTGCTCTCTATTCTGTTCTTCTAATCTGCCTTTTTATATCTAGTTCTAAACCCTTCTATAATTATGATAGCTTTATAATTCACTTTAATATCTGAGTGATTTTTTTCAGGTTTGTTCTCACTAGTCTTTAGCATATTTATTTTTCTGGATGCATTTTATTTCTTACGAGAAGACCTCGTGCATTTATTCACTTTCAAAAGAAATGGACAATAACCTAAGATTCCAGCAGTCACAACACTGGAATTTTTCTAAGTCTTATTTTTACCTTTCTATTACCTTTACTTTTGATATTTACTGTTATTCTATTTTAAGTCTCCGGAGCCAGGCAGTTTGACCAATAGGATTGTTACTTGACAAAGAAAAAACATTTTTATACATCCCTATATAAGATGTTCCATCACATTTTGTTAAAAGGGACATTTTGAAAACCATTTTGAAGCTAGTTAAGAGTACTTGGAACTGAGGCCCTAGCACTGCCACAGGTGGACACCCACGAGCAGCTGAGTCTCTCCTGGAACCTGAGCCCAGAGTTCTTTCTTCAATCCTACTCTAGGTGCAAAAGCTATCGCATAAAACAGACTCTGAAAGTAATCAGATTTACTGGAAATAACTACAGAGTAAAATTTAAGGCATGAATATGTTGGGAGTAGGGTATATATTTGGGAAAGAGTGAATAAGTTTTGCTCTTTTGAAAAACTTTTTAATGTCTCTTTATTTTGAGAGAGAGAGAGA